GGTACGAAACTCTATGGTGTACTCGGCAACAGTCCGTGAACCCTGATGCATGGACATGAGCAGCTTGGCAGCCGAGGCGGAGCGAGCCGGTACGTCGAACACCCTATGGAAGGCGTCGACAAAACCGGAAAACTCACGAATCACCGGGTCATTCCTCTCCCATAAGGGATTTGCCAGGGCCAAGGCCTTGTCTGAGAGCAGCGAGATTAGGTAACCCACCTTTGACCTCTCAGTCGGAAAAGCGTGGGGTATTAATTCGAAATAAATGCCCACCTGGTTGAGGAACCCACGACACTGACTCGGCTCACCCCCAAAGCGCTGTGGAAGAGGGGCTGAACCAGTCATACCTCTGGGCACCGCGGGTGCCGCAACAGTCGCGGCGGTAGGCGCAAAAAAGTGGGGCAGCAGTGGGAGCGACCACCGGAGTGACAACCGGCCTAATAATACCAGGAGTAAGGTGCGCGGTGCGTGCAAGCAGAGTCTGCAATGCCTAAGCGAACTGATCCAACAGGAGATCCTGTTGATCAAGTCTGGCGACTAACATGGGAAGCGAAGGCATACCTGCACCGTCAGGATTCATGGCATTTGTGTAATGTCAGGGCAGGAGCTGTGGAACGGACAGGCAGGCCTAGAGGCAGGGTCACGCACTGACTGACGACAACCACCACCCACAGACTGGAGTCCCTCAGGGCGTGTAGTCTAAGTCCCAGGCTGCCTTTCACCAGGGCCCCTGATGGTGGGGATGGACTTGACGCAGCCAGGAACCAGGTCGCAGCCCCCGAGACACCCCAGCTGCGGTAATGGCCGCCGCCAATGGCGTGTAGCTGGTAGGAATAAGATCAGACAATAGCATAGTCAGGCAGGCCGGGTCGACAACAACGGGACAAACGGTACAGAAACAGTAGACAAGAATCACAGGTCACAGGCCGGGTTCAGCAACGAGAGGTCAGATCAAAGGAAAATGCAGAGAATGGTCTAGTCACAAGCCGAGTCAGATTCCAGGAGAGTCACAAGAGTATACACAGAGCTGTTGCAACACCAACACACAAGACACGAATGCAAAGGGCATATGCGGACAACAGACTTATATGTAATCAACCCACACCCCTCTGGGAGATGGACCTCAGAGGCCTGAAGGCATAAAAGACTCCAACCATGCTCTTTGCAGAAACCCAAGATGGATGCCAGCACATGGAGCAGCACAACCTCTGGGAAAAGGTAGGACCTTGACAAGGATGTTGAGCTTCTTGGAATCTACACCAGGTTTGGAGAGTAATGTTCTGCCTACAAGTTTGACAGGAGAAATTACCGCAGAGGAGGTGACTAAGGTCATTGATAGTCTGGCCATTAAGAAAACTCCTGGGCCAGACAGGTTGACAGCTGAATTTTTTTTAAGACCTTCAAATCTAGCCTGGCACCTCGCCTAGCGGAGGTGTATAATTGCTGTTTGAGTGAGGGGTCCCTCCCTTCCTCCATGAGGCAGTCTGCGGTGATTTTGCTGGCAAAGGGTAAGGATCCTTTGGCTATTGAGAACTGGCTCCCTCATTAGCCTTCTCAATGTCGATAGAAAGGTTCTGGTTAAGATCTTGTTTTGGTGCTTGTCGTCAGTGGCAGAGGGTCTGCTTTCTCGTCAGCAGCATTGCTCGGTCCAGGGCAGGAGTACCTTTACAGCGGTGTTAGCTGTCCGGGAGGCTCTGGAGCATTGTAAGGCTGAAGGATGGGGAAAGTTCTTGCTGGCAGTGGATCAGGCAAAGGCCTTTGATTGTGTCAACCATGAGTACCTCTGGTGTCTCCTTGACCGGTACGGCTTGGAAGGGAGGTTTATTGGCTGGTTAAAAACATTGTATAGGGAGGCTGAGAGCTTCATGTTGGCGAATGGCTGGGTTGGGCAGCCTTTTGGGGTTGGATCCGGGGTGCGCCAGGGGTGCCCTCTGAGCCTCTTGCTCTACGTCTTTGCCATTGACCCCTTCGTCAGGAGGCTAGATGGTGGAGCGTTGGGCGGGGTGCCTGGGGGGTGCTGCTGGGGGTCCGCCCCTGAAGGTTGTAGCTTATGCTGATGGCGTGTCTGTTTTCATCTCTGGGTCTGAGGAGGCGCAGGAGGTGGTCTCAGTGATGGAACAGTGTGCCGAGGCATCTGTCTCCAAAGTCAACCAGGACAAATGTGAAGTTCTCTGGATGGGTAGAGAGGGTGAGAGCTTCTCGCTCCCGGACACCTTCCCGGGGCCTCAACGAAGCATAAAAATTTTGGGCATCAATTTTGGCCATGCCGATTATGGCAAGCTAAACTGGGAAGCCAAGTTATCTGATGCAGAGGTCAAGGTCAGATGCTGGAAGGGGTGGCGGCTCTCTTTGAGGGAAAGGGTTGATCTGATCAAGACTTTCCTGATTCCGGTTTTTCTGTATGTCAGTTACATCTGTCTCTTGCCAGAATCACTCCATACGAGGATTCACAGCTGTTTCTTCCAGATGTTATGGGGAAATAGGCTGAACCTTGTTAAGCGGAACGTAACTTATTCATCCAGGTGGGAGGGTGGCCTAGGTATGGTCAACCCAGTAGTTTTTTTCTCTCTGATGTTCTTGAAACATAACTTTGGTAGCATGTTGGCAGAGAGACCGCCTGCATGGGTAGGACTTTTTTGTGCCTGGTTTGGACCCTTTCTGAACAGTTGGGAGAGCGGCGGGCCAGTGAGAAGCCTGCGGGTCAAGCACGGTAAGCTCCCGGCTTACGTGGCCCCGTGCCTGAAGTTACTCCGGCGGTGGCATGTGACGGCGGAGGAGGTCAGGTCCCTCCCTAGGAAACTCCTGGGTGAGAGGATTGTGGCTACCGCTTTCCATGCGCCGTTGGCCCTGAAAGATTTCCCAGGCCATATCATGAGGGAGGATTTGCGTTTATTAAATCTGGAGCGGATCCCCCTGAAGTTGAGGGACCAAGCCTGGCTCGGCTTCCATGGCAGGCTTTACGTAAGGGGCAACCTGAAGTACCGCTCTCTGGATGACTGTGGTTGTCAGAGGGCGGAGTGTGGGGGTGAGGTGGAGAATATGGACCACTTCTTGCTTCAGTGCCCCTTTAACGTTGAAGTGTACAAAGAGGTGGGTGGGGCTTTGGGTGTCTCCTTCCTCCACTGCATGTCTTATGCTGAGTGGGTGTATGGAGCATTTGAAAGCCGCTCTGGTGTTGATTTAGACACCTTGTTTCTAGTTAGTTTAGTGGTCCGTTATTACACGTGGAATGCATGGTGTCAGGTTTCCATTCGGCAAAAAGTCCTCCCTGTCCAGGTGGTGGTGAGTGACATTCTTGGTGAGGTTGGGAAAATTTGGGGTCTTGAGAAAGACCAGTGGCGGCGAAAGGCTTGGATGGAGGCGTGGAGGAACATCAGGCCTGTAGCTGCTGCCTGTTGATGGTGGTGGTAGCTATCCCTGTTTCTTCTCTTTGCACCCCCTTAGGTTTTTTTGTAGTTATGGATTTTTTTTTGAAGAAAGGTTGCAGGTACTGAGGGTCTGTGTTTTTTAGTCTTCCTCTTGGAGGTTTGTATTATCTATCTTGGTGGGTTCTTGGTTGAGTCTTGGATTTAGGCCGTAAAGACCTTTTGCAGCAGGAGGTTGGAAATTGTATTTGATCCTTTTGGGTTTGGACATATAGCCCATAGAGGCCTTGTGTATGCGTGGTGGGGGCGTCAGGCCTGTTGTTCCCTTCATGACTATATAGGCCTGGAGGCATATGTTCTTTCTTTGCAGGTTATGGACCCTTATTTTTGGGCCATTAAAGCCATGTGTTGTGGTAATTATGCTTGTTTCTTTCCCCAGGAAATTCTGGACTTTCTGTCACATATAGTGGTTATACTGTATTTGTGTTGGGCCATGAAGGCCTTGTAGATACATGTTGGGGGCATTGGGCCTTGTCCTGCTTTGTGGGGCGTCGGGCCTGTTGTCTTCTCCATGTCCGTATAGGTCTGGTTGCATATGTCCTTTTTCTTTGCAGGATATGGACTCTTATGTAATGGGCCATTAAGATCAAAAGTCATATGCCATATTCTATGTTTTTCTTTCCCCAGGAAGTTCTGGGTTTTTGGTCATGCATGGTGGCTACGTTTTTTGGCCATAAAGGCCTTGTAGATACATGTTGGGGGCATTGGGCCTGTAGTCTTGCTCAGTGGGGCGTCGGGCCTGTTGTCTCCTCCATGACTATATAGGTCTGGGTGTATAGGCCTTCTTTTGCAGGTTATGGACTGTTACGTTTGGGCCATTTAAAACCATATGGTTTGCTGTTTCTTTCCCCAGGAAATTCTGGACTTTCAGTTATGCGTAGTGATTATGTTTGTACTTATTTATTTGCAATTTTTTGTACTTTTGTAAAAAAAGAGTTTAAGTTGGCTGGTTTTGTAAGCTTACATTACAAAATAAAATATTTCCATTCCTGACAGTACCCCCCCCCCTCAAGGAGCGGCCTCAGGACACTCCAAACAGTCCTTAGTGGGCAAAATGTTCTACCGCACGGGTCAGGTAACTGGCTGGATATCCTACTTCCGGAGTCAACCGGCTGGCTGGGTTTCCTGCTGGTAGACTTCTCCTTGTGTAGGAGAACCCAGGAAGGCAGGTTACTGGACACAGGATCTCCAGGAGCAGGCTGGGAATCAGTTATTGGCCAGTTTAGCTGGACATCAGGGGCTGGCACATCAGGCTGGGCAGCAGACAGAGGCACGCCAGGCTGGGCAGTGGACAGAGGCACGCCAGGCTGGGCAGCGGGCAGAGGCACGTCAGGCTGGGCAGCGGGCAGAGGCACATCAGGCTGGGCAGCGGGCAGAGGCACGACATGCTGGGCAGCGGGCAGAGGCACGTCAGGTGGAGCAGCGGGCACCGGGCCATCAGGCGAGGCAGCAGGCACCGGGCCATCAGGCGAGGCAGCAGGCACCAGGCCATCTAGCAGAACAGCGGGCACCGGGCCATTTGGCAGAACAGCGGGCACCGGGTCATCTGGCACGACAGCAGGCACCGGGTCATCTGGCACGACAGTGGACACCGAGTCATCTGGCACGACAGCGGGCACCGGGTCACCAAGCTCGACAGCGGGCACCGGGTCACCAAGCTTGACAGCGGGCACCGAGTCATCTGGCACGACAGCAGGCACCGAGTCATCTGGCACGACAACGGGCACCAAGTCACCAAGCTCGACAGTGGATACCGAGTCATCTGGCACGACAGCTGGCACCGAGTCATCTGGCACGACAGCGGGCACCGAGTCATCTGGCATGACAGCGGGCACCGGGTCACCAAGCTCGACAGCGGGCACCGGGTCACCAAGCTCGACAGCGGGCACCGAGTCATCTGGCCGGACCGCGGACACCGAGGCAGAGGCACCTGGCCGGACCATGGGCACTGAGGCACCAGGCCGGACCACAGGTACCGAGGCAGCAGGCCGGACCACGGGCACCGAGGCACAAGGCCGGACCACAGGCACCGAGGCACCAGGCCGGACCATGGGCACCGAGTCATCTGGCACGACAGCGGGCACCGAGGCACCAGGCCGGACCATGGGCACCGAGGCACCAGGCCGGACCACAGGCACCGAGACACCAGGCCGGACCAGGTCATCAGGCTGGATCGGGACATCAGGCTGGATCACGAACACTGGGTCATCAGGCTGGATCGGGCCATCAGGCTGGGTAGCGGGCACCAGATCATCAAGCTGGATAGGATCATCAGGCTGGGTAGGATCATCAGGCTGGGTAGGATCATCAGGCTGGGTAGGGTCATCAGGCTGGATCGGGTCATCGGGCTGGATCGGGTCATCAGGCTGGGTAGCGTACACCAGCTCATCAGGCCGGATCGGGTCATCAGGCCGGATCGGGTCATCAGGCTGGGTAGCATACACCAGATCATCAAGCTGGATAGGATCATCAGGCTAGATTGGGTCATCAGGCCGGATCGGGTCATCAGGCTGGATCGGGTCATCAGGCTGGGGTAGCGTACACTGGATTGTTAGACATCCGGGCATCAGGCTGAACAGCGGGCACCGGGGCACCAGAATGGACAACAGAAGGCGGGCTCTCAGACCGCAGGCCAACCGGCCTGGACACTGGCAGGATGGTGCTGGTTGGAAAGAATTTTCGCTTTTTCCTGGTTTTAGTTACTGGAGCACTGTAAGTAAACGCAGGTATGTAAACGGATAGAGCGGCTGAAGACAGAGAAGAGCTGGGGGATGGAACAGAGGAGAGAGAAGTTGCTACAGAGGACTTCTTTACAGGGTTAAAGGCAGAATAGGTGCAGCGAGTGGGAGCAGAGGACTGACATGTGGTAGATAGCAGGGTATACTGGGCTGTAACCGGGGGTGCTGTCGGGAATGCAGGAATAGAGCTTTGAGCAGAGGAATGATGAGAAGCAGGACTGGTTTGTTGCAAGCTAACTGAGGCTGGGTGTAACAAGTCTGACCAGGACTGTAGTATTGGTTGAACAAAACTCAGCTTACACATAGCCTGTCTGACCAAAGACTGCACTGCGTTTATGCAATCCACTAGCACATGTGATGGACAAGCTGCATAATGCTCATGGAAGCAATCTGGATCATTCTTCAACAACCATACCAGTGATTCCACTTGATCTGCACTGAATGGGGGAAAAAGTCATCCCTGCTTTCAGGGGTACAGGACAGAGCCAACTCAGCACAAACCTGGATCAATAGCTGCACCTCAGAAAACTCCGTGCCCTGATCCACTAGGGAATGAGCAACTTGCATGCACTCTAGCAGCTGATCCCTGGCATACTTCCTCAAAATCTGGCAGCAGTACTCTCTGTCTTCTATTGCTAGCAAAGATAAGTATACAACTTCATCCAGATGCATCCTTCCCCAACAACAAGCCAAGATGGCTTCCCTATGCAGCCACTTCTGGTCAGGAATGGCCTTGGTGTAATGTCAGGGCTCCGGGTATGACCAGAGGTGTGTGGACTGACACAAGGAAACGCAGGCTTCAGGTATAGAGTAAAGAAAACAATTTATTAAAGACTAAACAACACAAACGCAGTGCAAGGTAAACATAACACAGTGCAAACAACCCAACCTCCAACAGATAACTATATATACAAATCGAACGTAGTCGGGCAGGCCGGGTCGGTAGCAAACGGGCAAACAGGGTACCAGGAGTGAGTGGAAGAGTGGTGAGGAATAGCCGAGGTCAGGATAGGCGGAGTTCGTTCAGAGTCAGGATCAAAGCAGAGTCAGGATCAGGCAGGAAGCAGACAGGATGCAGGTACAGGGGCTCATGGGAAACATACACCAAGGCACTGACTGCAGGTCTGGCCATTCCTTAAATACACCTCCTGCAATCAGCCTCAGGTGATGGCTGATTGCAGGAGTGAGCTTCTGCTTGCTGAGAGCACCTGCTGGCCAGCCCTGGTACTGCAGCCCACAAGGCAGGTGAGTCCCACCACCAGTGGTGAGTCTGTTCCTGAGAGAGGTTGTGCTAGACTGTGCTCTGCTGAGCTCCAAGAAAGCCTGATAAGCCTGGGGCTAAAGTGCCCTGTTCAAGCCCAGGGAGGATGGCGGATCCTGGGCTTGAGTCCAGCGGTGGGAGACCCCCAGAGGGGCCTATTACCGGTCCTGGCTTCCCATCCATAGAGGACCTGGGAACAGCCCCAAGGAAAGGGGAGGATTATGGCGCATATCGTGACCGGGTGGCTGCCCGGATCCAAACAATCAAGAAGGAGGAGGCCAAGCTGGCAAAGCTGAGCATGGAGCGTAAGAAGCTCTGAGCGAATTATGACCGGGTCTGCAGCTCCAAACGCCAGTCCATGAAGCCGGGCCTGGAGGCCCTGGAGCAGAGGGTCTCTCAGCAGGCCAAGTATGTGTCTGCCCTCAAGAAAAAGAGCGGTGCGCTCAAAGAAAAGTTTGGGAATGACAGCCGCTTCAAAGCGGCTAGGAGTAAGCACGTGGCGGAGGCTAGAGGGCCTGTGTAAGAAGTCTCCTCCATGGAGGAGCTGAGTGAGTTCCCTGTGGTGAAAGGTGAGCCGGAGCAGGGGCTGGCTAGGCCCGCTGCGTCCTCTCAGTGCAGTGCTGCGCCTATTATGGAAGACGTGGAAGTTGCGGCAAGTGTGGAAGATTCCGGGTCCCTCCCCCTTGGTCAGCAGCCCGCTGATTGGGGAACCAGGATGTAGGAGGCGGAAGCGGCTGGCAAGCTCCACTTTGTACAGGAAGCAGGGAGTGGACATGCATCGCTTCCGGTTTACCTCCGAGTCGGAGGACGAAGAGGCGGATGTGACATCATCCAAACCACCGAAGGCTATTGCGAAGGAGCGCGCGGTGTACGTCCGGCTTCAGCGCATCCCCAGCTCTGTGGAAAGCGGCCTTCTGGCGAGAGCAGGGGAGCCGCAGGCTGAAGACTGTGTGCGGGACTCTGCTAAGTCGGGTGTCAGCATGCCCGTGGATGTTGGGGGGTGGTAAAGTATTGTGTGATGCTGTTGTGGTACAGGCCCCTGATACGCCCACCCCTGTGAGTCAGGGGGTGGGCGTATCTATCCCCGCTACCCCTCCGGCTCTGGACCCGCGAGGCCCCACCCCCTTGGGGGCTAAGGATGCTCATGTTATACAGCCCATTGCTAAGGGTCCCCCGGTTGGTTCTAGGGACCCCTCAGGTCAAGCCCCGCTAAGCCCCTCCCCTAGAGGTCCAGGCCCCCGGCCTCAGGTCCCATCTGCTCACGTATCACCAGGGGAGGCCCCTCTGAGTTCTGGTGCCCCCATTACAGCCCCCCCAGTTGCAGGTCCTTCTGCTGTAGGTGGCCCGGTGGCCAAGCCTGCCTTGAGCTATTCAGCGGCGGTGAGGGGAGGTCAGGAGCCAGCTAGACCACTCCAGGCACATGCTGGCAACCTGCCCACCTCAGCCGCACGCAGAAATGTGGTCCAGCTAAAATGGACCGGGGAGGGCCCCCCTTTAAGTCACAGAGAGGTCATAGATCGGGTCCTAGAGATGAGATTCCGGGCAGTGGACATCTTTGCTTTCATCGCCCCGGTAGGAACGGGCGAATATGATGTCTCTTTCATGAGGGCTGAGCTTCTTGACCTCTTCTGGCAAAGGTTTGAGGCCACCTATATCCATAGCCCCAGGTGGGTGGGCCTCACCCCCAAGCTTATCTCCCGCCAGAATGTGGTAAAGAAGGTTACAATCTTGGTCCGGAATGAGTCAGTCCCGGCCTCCGATATTGTCGTCTGGTTGGGGAGGTTCGGAGATGTTTTATGGCCCCTGAGCAAAATTGGAGACGACAGGGGGATATGGACAGGTGGATGGACAACCACTGTCCGCCTGAAAGTGGTGGGTAATGTGCTCCAACACATCCCATCCTCTGCTTTTTTGGGGAGGGATAGGCTCATTGTCTTCTACACCGGTCAGCCATGGGTGTGTCACAGGTGTGGGGGCAAGGGACACTTTGCTGCCTCGTGTCCCGTCATCCGGTGTTCCCTTTGTCAGGAGATAGGTCACCTGGCGAGAGATTGCAACATCATCCGTTGCAACTTGTGCGGAGTCCTGGGGCATGCCTACAGCCAGTGTCCCGAGGCTCTCCGTAACTTGTCCGACGGTGAGTTGGTGGCAGAGCTGGATAGGCTTGATGCAGAGGTGGCGGCAATACAGGCAGAAAAGACCAGCTTGACCTCTGCAGCAGCCTCTGGAGGTGGAGGGGGGGGGGGTTCCTGAGGCCCCTACTGCTTCTGTTGTCCCTTCTGTCTCTGTCCCCCCTGTTGAGTCTGCCCTTGTTAAGTCCTCTGTCATTTCCCCTGCTGTACCTGTCCCCCCTCCTAGGAGAAGGAAGAGATTAGTAGAGGCTGCCCAAGGGGCAGGGGTGGTGGTTACATCTGGGCCCTCTGCGCCTGTTCCCCCAGTCCTTCTTCCATTGCGGAGGGGTGTGGGGCCTAAGAAAGTTCCTCAGGAAGTCTAGGGTCCTGTCCAGGGTGGGCAGGTGGAGGTCCCAGTGGGGAAAGGGTGGTCAGTTGTGGGAAAACGGAATGAGGCAGTCCTTTCTACAGCAGGGTCAGTTTCCTCTCTGGAGGTGGGGGATCTGGCCCTGGACAACATGTTTGGGGCTCTGTCGGGGGAGGAGGGGGAGGTCTCAAGTGACCCCGCTTCTCCGATGGAGGATGAGGAGGCGGGAGGGTCTATAAAAAGGTTGAGGGACCCTGCCAAAAAGTCCAAGAGGAAGGTTAAGAAACAGTTCTGACGAAGTCTGCGGTGATTGGCGGACGAAACGCGTCAACGTGATGACATCATTACGCTCGGCGTCTCCATAGGGCACGGTGCCCACGAGGAAGGAAGAAGCGGTTTGCTTCAGCTCCACACTGGAAAGGCAGGAGACATTCTAATTATGATGAGGATATCATCTAAAGCAGCCCGCACATGGCAACCTTGAATCACAGCCTACTTCCACCGGTGGCAAGTGTATAGCCATTAGGCTTTTGTGCTATCAATATTAATGGGTTATATATTCCCACTTTTTTGGTAACCCTGTGCCTATTTACCCCCATTAGGGGGAATTTTTTTAACTCCTATTGGAGAAATATCTGTATATCACGATATATATGTGCTGTGGCATGCTTCTACAGTCTCAAATATATTTCTAAGGAACCGCATTGCTTTCTCATTATTGAGCAATATTTGGAAACCCAGATCTGGGTCTATATATTCATATATACATAGACTGTATCAATCAGTCTGGACTTTACATATTGACTACCTGGCTGCCTACCCCCATATTCACTTTTTCATCCAGACCTGATCTTACTTCAAGTGAGGAAGAGTCCCCTTGATCTTCTGTATGGTAATATTTTTTAGATTTTTTTACCCTAATTTTTGCTTTATTCAGGTCTGTTGG